TGAAACACAGGAAGTTTAATCTCCATATGAGGAATAACTTCTTTACTGTGAAGGTGACACAGCCCTGGAACAGGCTGCCCAGAGAGGTTGTGGAGTCTCCTTCTCTGGAGATCTTCCAAACCCTCCTGGATGCCACCCCCTGTGCCACGTGCTCTAGGGGTCCCTGCTGGAGCAAGGGGGTTGGACTAGATGATCTCTAGAGGCCCCTTCCAACCTTAACCATCCTGTGATTCTGTGATTCCAGTCCCTGCTCTTTCTGCCCATGTAGACTGGGAGCTCCCTTGGAAAGGAGGGCCACAAACACGGGCTCTGATTGAACGTCTCATACTAGGGCTGTACTCAAGCGAGTGCACAATGATTTAACCACTTGTTATGACTGATGCCCAGGCAATTCTCTTCAAGCCCCTGTTGACAGCAGTGGGGTCAGGGAAGCTTGCCTTGATGCCACAACATTTGGGAGTGGGGACCATTTTTTTTGTCCAAGCTATTTTCCACTATGCTAACACATTGTGATCCCTGCAGGGTCCCCAACTTTCAGCTTTTCATGTCAATACCTGATTTTGCCTTTCTAATCCAAATTGTCTTTTCTCTTGTGCTTTTTCCCGAGCTGAAGAAGGCACCAATGTTTCAAGAAACTCCAGGGCTGAGACTGAGTATGAACCACTGTGCCTTAGTAAGTCTTCTGAAGTCATTACAACCATGATAAAAACAGGTAACGAGACCACAAATGGGAGGCTGCTCTAGAGAAGACTTGCCCGTTGTCATGCACTTAACCAAAAGTTTCTGTTGTGCGTGAAATACTAAGAGGCATTTTAAAACTCTTCCATTGGCACACCTAGTATATCCAAGATATGTTCAGATGGACTTATGTTTTTGAGTAGACAAGTTTATAGCTTGGTTGGTTTGTGTATCCTAGCACTCCCTCCCATACCAGACATCCACGTGCACACTGGGGACTCTCAGGAATGTCCCTCACCCCCACACAGGAGGGTCTCCTCAGCCAACCTTGCATAACCTGAGAACCCACGAGCCCTCCCAGAGTCTCCTCCCATCCCAAACACCACAAGGGCCATCACTTCCCGGACTGCACATACCAAAAGATGCATGCCACCCCAAAGCATGGCATAGATGGAGGGGACAGGCATCCCCTGTCCCTCCTCTAGGCACGAGCAAGACATTTGCCTTCTGTTGTGTAAAGAATGGTTCTTTACAGTGCCCGGCCAACAGGCACAGCTAATCACCTAATTCCTTAACTGACTTTAGGAACTTGGACAATAAAAAGATGCGAAGGATTCAAGGAAAAAAAAATGTCATAGTTGAAAGTTGTTTCCATTCTAATCAAGGGAATTGCACTGGTGCAAAATACAAGGAAGTCACAGCTTACAGCCCAGCACAGAGCACACGCTGCTTGGTTTGGCAACAGTGGCACTGGGTGCCTAAAATGCTTTTCAAGATCCTCTTACTCTCTCACAAGAAAATCTCTTTCCTTACCCTACATTTATTTTCAATTGCAAGTAGCCACTTTCATCACATGCCTTTCTTAAAATTGCCTAAGCAGATGCTAAGTAGGTGTTTTTACAAGATTTCAGTAATGATGGGCAGTCATGAATGCACCGGCTCAGATATCTGGCCAGCCAGGAACGACAGACATGACCAGCCTTGAAGACACACACATGAAGTTGAATTTTGCTACCTCTCAAATTAGGACCAGGCTTAGGGGAGAGATGCAAAGGCAGAGTAACAGGCCACAGGGCTGACAGGGAAGTCACTTCCTCACCCACCTTCCAGCCAAGCAAAGCCTGCTCTGCCTCTGGCATTGCTTCAGCTCACCTGCTTTTCTTTGCCACCAGGAGTGAACTTCTGCTCGCAAGCTGCCGTGTGCTGCCCGTCGGGCATGGACGACTACGGCTGGATCGCGGCTGCCGTTGGCTGGAGCCTCTGGTTCCTGACCCTTATCCTGCTCTGTGTGGACAAGATCACCAAACTCCGTCCCGACGAACCCAAGTATTTGGCAGCCTGAAGCAGGGCAAGCCAGCACGCGGTGAGGCAGCAAAGCATTTCAAAGCACCGAAAAAGAACAGTTACATACCTTTAACTAAGAAAGTCCAGATCTAAGCAAGGTCCGTCCTCCCCAGCAGGTCAGGACTGCCAGTGTCTGTGGAATAGACCTGAGTCCTTGTAAGGCAGTAGGGTACATGCCACTGGGGAGAGAAAACCTTCTTTTTCCTGAGTCCTCGTAGTAAGATGGTGTAATATATCCCTCATTCCATGTGTAACTGTGTGTGCTTGCTGCGAGTGCACCAGCAGCACCTGTATGTGGAATCACCAGGACTGCCTTAAGGCAACCCAGTGCATGGTGCTTGGCATTGAAACAGAAAGTGGCCAAATAGACCTAATTTCTGCAGGATCAGTGTTACGAGATCCATTACTAAGCATGCAAACTGAGCCTAAGCTATGAGCCAGGTTACATGAGTCAACTGATCTAACTCCTTGATTATACTGAATTGCTTTCATACATTAAATTGTGTTTTAATGCCAATTTACTGATACTAGTTCAAATTCTGCTATGAATGTGCAAGATGAAGCCTTGTTTGGAGTGGTTTGAAATTAAATCTAGTTATTCCAGTGTAGTTTGTATGGGGACTCTTTTGCAGGAATTTAACATTGGATGTATTTATTCAGCTTGCACCTGCCTACTTAACTAAGCAGAACTGCAGCAAGCTGGTTTAAACCAGTGTATCCAATTCATGCACAAAGCTGCTCCTATTTATGTGAGGGGCTGATAAACACTGTTATTTACATTGATGGAAAAATTCAAATTGACTAGCTTAATCCTAATTTATATTGATAAAGCATATATTTCCAATTATATCCAAATGGTTAGAAACATTTCAAATGGGAAATATTCATGGAGAGGGGTTTATCCCACTGCAGTTTGATTTCTATCCATTATTCTAACAACAAATGAGTATCAAACCCATCTAGACATACATCAGATTAGCAAACCTGCTAGAGACCAGCTGAAATGAATCATAAAAATAAAACTGTAATAGAGATTTGTATTTTTACAAAATATCATTAAAGGCTCACATCTGGTTATTAATGTAAAACTCTCCCATTTAGGAAACATACAAATCAACGTAAAATTCTTCAAATTAGTCCTAGCGCAACTAGGTACTTTGATCAGGGCCTAAAGGACAATTTTCTGACAGTTGGATTGATGGATGGTCGCCCATTACCACCTAGAGCAAGAACAACTCTCCCTGTAGGAATGGGTAAAGCTGGACACGGAGAGCAACACCCTTCCCAATCATTAATATCACCTCACTCAGAAACTCTGAAGGAGGGAGAATGCTGAGCTGAGATTCGAGCATCAGGAAAGATAGTTTTGAAAGGGAAGGGCTTAACTTTTCTGTGGCATTTTCATTGTGTGTGTGTTTTTTCGGACACGTGCCACAATGCTACTGGCAGATGATCAGAAAACATTGTTCGATTAAGAAAAACCTTTCAGCTTAGAATGATTAAAACAAAAGTAACACTCATGAGACAAATCTCCATGTTGGACCAGCCAGCTCCTCCTCCTCACAAATATCCACTTGCTCACGTACAAACTCACAGCAACAAAAGATTCTACATTTTATTGTTGGTGCTGATCGACAGAATAGCACGTTGACAATTAACCGCTGCAATCATCAATGGACAACAAACCTTATAGATACATACATCTTTTTTTTTTCCTGATTTATTATTTTCATAGTGAAAAATGTGCAGTGGTCTGAAAGCAATGTGACAGATCCTGTGAAAAATCTCCACCTCTTGCCTTTGTGTCGACCTGCTGCAGATCACTTCCTACAGGTCTCCAGTTCTATAAAAATTGTTCTCCCAGCTGGGGACACAGAGGTGACTGCTGCCTACGGCACCAGTTGTGATTTTCCAGGGGACAGTTTTCTTATTTCCTTGGCTAAGGCCATGAACACATGAATGTGGTCATGGAAGTGAAATCTCAAGCGTTGTAAACACATGACCTGAGCTCTAGCTGTCCTATAGCTCAGCACAACACCTGCAAACTCACCCCATAATAACTGGGTGACGTTGGGTTTCGTTAAACCTGCTTTTGAAAGCAGTTTGCTGTCGTACTTTCCAAAAGAGCCTGCTGGTGTGCAGCTGCCTTCAGGGAATGCAGTAGTTTAATCCTCAAGTTTTACTTTTCACAGCTTCCTTCTGGTGTTCTCAGATCAACCAAAGTGGGCTTGGGTGCAAGAATCATGGCTTTTGAGATAGTGGAACACCCCCACCTTTTTGTACACCTCTGCTTAAGGGTAACAACCAAGTCTCAACAAAGTCAGCTACAGAAAAGGAATGGATCTTATAGGATCATTGATGCAGAGAAATGCTACTTTTTCTAGACCACTGATCTGTAAACTTCTAATCTGGTATAACTCTCTTGTTTGCTTATTGTACCAACCTCTTTGAAGCTGACATGGCCAAGCTTGATCTATAGCATTTTCCATTCAAGTTCTCTGACCTACAACAAAAATGGAACAGGTCACTGGTAAAATGTATCCCGCTAATGAATTTCACAAACATACCACTACTTTTAGGGGTGTTCCGAGATTTTTAAAGGAAGTGGCAGTAACCCAGAAGGTCATGGGCTACCGGAGTAAACACCTTACCTGTTCCTATGCAATACAGTACAAAGCAATAAAAACTTATTTTAAAAATACAGAGTCTCTGAGGTAAGTGTCTTGTGTTACTCTGGTTCTAGGCATGCTGAGCAATCACAAGTGTGGTGCAAAGCAATGCACAGTGCAGAAGGAGAAACAGCCAACGGGCCTGTCAGTATTTCAGAGGGCTGTTGACAATCGCAGAAAGTGCAGAATTGAAAAGTTGTACCCAAAAGACACAAGAAATTAAAGACAGATGAAGATTAATCTGCAGAACTGGATTATTCACCCTGCCTGTACAAAAAAAATCGTCTACCCAAAAGTAATCTAAATATTATCTGTGGTCTGCCGCTACATTTCCTGGAATATTAATAGACAGGGAACACACAGTAGTAGTCTGTAGTTTATAACTTGTATTTTAAGACAAATCAGATCACCTCAGAAAGCTATGGTCTGGTTTTCATGCACAACTTAAGAGGACTCTGTAGAACAATACCTTATAATGAAATTCATGACAAAAGCCACAGGCTGTTATTGGTGCATCTGCTTATTATTTTCTCTTGTTCCTAATATCAATTATAGTTATTAAGATACACCTAATAGAAGATCCCCAAATAGTGTAAGGCTGCCCAGTTCTGTTGACTCAGGGAAGCTTTGCTAATAAAAGCATATTCTACCTATTCAGTGCTTCCAAAATCATGTTTCTCTTTTCTTTTCTTTCTTTCTCTTTTTTTTTCCATTGTAATTCCAGAAGGCAGCTAATTCCACTCCAACAGAAAAGCCTGGAAGTGAAATGTTAACTCCAAATTTATCAGTGATTGATCGGATATCCTATATTATTTCAGCCTGCTGCCCCCTCAGGCTCTCACACACTCTTGTTGGGGCTCTCCAAGGGCGCGTGCAAAGGCGAAGATGATGGATCACACCAGCTATTAAGAGGCAAGACACCTTCTCAGAACGATGATGGAAACCGTAACACTCCCGTCATTTACAATGTGGTTGGCAAGTGTACTTGCGCCAAAAAGTTCCTCACTGGCAAGAACAGAGAAAGGAAATCTATTCCAATTAGCAGGAATTAGTGCAAAGAAAGGCAAAAAAGCTTGAACCCTGGATGGCTGAATAAAAATAAATGTGACTGAAAGGCACCAGCTTGAATCTTAACATTGCTGATCAAGTTGGAACATCTATCCATATTTTATGGACAAAATTTCTGAATTTCAGGCAAGAAATAGTGCCTGGAAAGGGAGACAGGGAAGGGCACTGGGGGAACCGCCAGCCCACAAGTACTTTGACAGATGAGCAAAGTTGCAGGGATGGCCGCAGCTGCTGCCAGAACAGAGCGTCATTAGGGGCTATGCAGGATTTCAGGACAACTACTTCACTTTGCCCTGAAATAATACCAACCACATCTAACTAGTGATTTTTTAAAAATACTTAATTCACAACTAAATTGATTGGTACTTAATGCATGACTCTTCATCTTCTTAGATGCCATTGCTCTGGAAATGACTCACATTATTCACGGCTTCTATCCTTGGGGTTTTAGTGAATGAGCTACATATTAAGCAATTGCACTTTACAACGATTACACTTTACAAAATCACCAGGGGTTGAAAATTGGCAAGCATCAGAGCTTCCTACTCATGAGAGACATGCAGTGAAAAGAACAGAGGAAAGAGCTTAATTTCATTAAAAAATACAAGTGCTCTATACTGGGACTTTTGAGAATGTTTCCTAAAGCCGTTATAAATGTTAGGATTTGGGAGAAATACTGTAATTGATTATAGCAAAGGAATGAAATATAAGTATTCATTTCTGGGAAGCAACCATCCTCTCTGATCCTCATGTGCAGGATGTTTTGTGATATCAGTGGTATTAGGAGCTGCTGGGGAATTAAAAGCTCAATGCAGATTTCAGTGCTCAAATCGAACATACTTTTCAAAGAATTTCTACCTCCTATTTTGTAACAAGCATCTGGAAGGAAACACAAGATA